GTGAGTTTGTTTCTTTTTCACTCTAAGAAGTTGTCCCATATTCGTCCATTTCTTATGATTGTGTCACTTTTGACAAACATTTTGAAAAACATCTCAGTCAAGACATTTTGATGTCAACCTTCTTCGCATCGTCAAACCATCAAGCAAGGCAAGCACGCAGTTTCAGAGTGCGGATTGTGGGTGCATCGGTATCATCGGGCACCACAATAACCCCCAGAGGATTTTGCGGTTGCGATGTGGCGCAAACATTTGTTTCTCGTTCACTGTGTTGAGATTGCGAACACGAATCATGAACACGTCCACGTCCAGCGAGCGGTGCACAAACGGAAGAGATGCAAGTGCATCATGAGGAAGCGCATTCAGCGCTCTCATAATATGAGTCCCTGTTTCATCAACAACAGGTTGTCGTCCCATCTGATTATCAGCCAAGGTAGGCTCCGACACTTCAGGGGAATCCAAAAGATTAGTTTTCGCAACACGACTCTTTCTACTCTTGAATGTAGATTCAACAAAGTCTTCTTTCGAATCACCCGTAACGTTATCATCCTCGTCATCGGCAAATACAAGATTAATAGGCCTACCCAACTGACCTCTACGTGAACCATCTCTATCGGCAAGACAATCGTCACCACCTGCCTCCACAACCATGTTCTCAGCATCATTAAGGGTATTTCCTTGCGAACATCGACGTTCAACCTCACCAAGAATAGGATGATCGCCCCGATTCTGTTCACATTCAAAATTGACCGACCTCTCATCATTTCCACTTTTTTTCGACCTGTCCGAATGTTCGGCTCCAACTTTTGACGTAACATTCGTATCATATTGAGTGGTATTGTTGTTTCCCATTGCTTTCCTCTTTGCACGAGTGTCGTACTTATACGACATTCGGGATCGCCTGCAAAGAAAAAATATGACAGAATTATTTGGAATGCCAAGACTCGATGGAAAAAAAAAGAAGAACTCATCCCAAAAGTTCATGATATACAATATTCTTCGTTAAAAAATTCTTATCTGGCAACGTAACACGGATGTTGTTGGGATGGTCAATACGCAACAAAGCAACATACAGTAGGTCATGCGCAAAAACCGATTTGCGTAGCCAAAACCCCGACGCGCGATATGGTTTGTCCTTATGACTTATTAATCGTTACAGCAAAAGTAAGACGGACTGAAAATTGCCTCCTAAACCATTTGAACCTCGTTGTTTCACCATCGCTTCTCAGATCAATCTTGTTGATCAATGTTGTTTTACCCGTGTGCATTATTGTCACTTCCAACAAATCATCATTAACGATCTTCTTCAGAATCAGCCTTGTACCGTTGCAAAGTTCTTGCTTCGGTGACAAATTTCGCAAAAGCATAACAGGTGCACCGATTTTTAAGCGCAGCTTGTGAGGTGGAAGGCCAGATTCGTCGAGAGAGTTTAAGAACTCTCTCTCAATACCAAGCCCAGTATCATCCGAATCAGGATAATCAACGCAAAAAAGGTCACGCACCTCCCTAGGGAAGTCGTCAACAACACGGTTGTTAACATAACCGGCATCATCATTAGTAAGGCATAGATATAATCGAGGCGAAAAATACTCGGCATCCCCCACATGGTTCGACACATGATGAAATGTCCATGAAATCAACTCATCAATTGGTTTATCCGTACAAATTTCATGTAACAATCTGACCGCAGCACTTTCATTAGGAACAACACGAGGATGGTCACCATTCCCAATACGCATCAAAATTTGGGCATACGTTCGTGTTATTTCATTATTCCCTAAGCTTAAGATTCGCATATTTTCGGTTAGTTGATGAACCTCAAAAAATTTCCACAAATGAAACATTTTCTTGGACGCATCAATTTGTTGCGCCCTCGATCTGTATTTAACAACGGGCAAAACCTGTCTAAAATCCCCAGCCAGAAGTAGAACTTTCCCACCAAACGGCTCGTCATTGTTACTGAGGTCTTGAAGCGTAATGCCAAGAGCTTCCAAGTGAAACTGGTTACTCATCTGAGCCTAGTCCTAAACAATCAAGTCGGCACGGTGGATAAGCTTCCCAAGATCACTTTGTTTCAGAATCAAGAAGGGACGCATGTTACCAGGTTTCACCGTTTTAAAGGTGAGCGAAATAATGAGTGAAACATTCAATCCTACGTTAAAAAATTCGTCGCGTTGCCACTGGACGTGACGGTCAGTGCAATGGCAGAACGTGACCTGATCCATGACAAAATTGTTTCAACGCAAAAAGTCTTTCCTGTTTTAGTCGGAGCATCGAGAAAAGCACGCAACGATCTTTTCTCTTGCACAACCCGAACGACTATTTTCACCAACACTTGCTGACGTGGACGAGACGTTGAAAATTAGAGTCATATATGCGTTGCATTTGAATTAGATCATACGACAAATCGTCGTTTAGAATCGAGTATACAGTTCTGTTGTCGTAATGTCTGGTTATGTTCTCGGAAATCGTTTTCCCGTCGGCTCGTCGGGTGTTGGATAATATAAAGGCAGAATTGACGGACGTTTTTTCCTGACTCCTGCAACATACGATCAAGATGAAATAACACTAGCGATTGCAAAATGTTCGGGGGAACAATTTCATTGTCTACACGCTTAAAATAGGCACACATCTTATCCCCATGCCATTCGAAAAAACAAACCGGATCGTTCACCAGACCAAACGCCATAACCATAGCAAATATTTTACGAACTTCTTCAAGCATGTAATGCGCAACGGCTGTGTCTATGCATTGATCGTATGCATCGTCTCTTTGCAAAAGGCTCAATCGAAGACACACGGATCGGAACCAATCATATTCGACTCTGTCCACCGTACGAATTTCAACAAAAGAGCGCACCCCACGAGAATGCTCTTGGTTTAGCAACAAGCGCAAATCAAATCGTTCTCCTTCCATGATCCTTACGTGATGCAATCGAGATATCTTTTCGAATGGACCACTGTGAACGTTACGCTTTCTTTGGTTCCTCTTTTTATGTTTGTTATCCCACACATGAGTATTTACGATTTCTGCGTAAAGAGGAAGCTCCTCTTTAGGAACACGTTCATTCAAAAAGTTGTGTTTTATCCATGCCGTCAATTTCGTTTTCGGGGCCCCATTTGAAACAACGTCATGCTCAGTTCCAAGTTCGAATTGTATTTTTGCACGTTTTCGAGATGCACAGGTAATCTTTCGACCGCGGGTCATTGTTCTGCAACGCCGAACTCAAATAGACGCCAGCATGCTTCGCATGCACCTACAACACGCATATCTTGATACAATTTGACCTCGTCGATGGACACATTATTATCTTGCTCGCAAACCATGGCACTATCACACCCTTTGTACATGTACTTGCACGCCTTAATGTTAGCACAATATTCAACATTCAAGTGGCAATTAAACCTCATTAGCAAGTACGGGTTATACGGGACCACACTTCGATTGTCGTAAACGACACCATTTTAAACAATCGTAAAACCACCGTCACTTGGTTTCCTTTTCTGCATTCCTCGTCCTCCGTACACGAAGCGTCGAATTTCTCGGCACCGTAAATCCCATGCGACATGAACTTGGCTACCGTTTCTCTCAATTCTCCTTTCGAATGAATCTCGACATACACCACATTGTCAACAACATCCGCATCCTGAAGTTTATCATCCGGATGTAAGATAACCAATATATGTGCATGTGGTAGACCTAGTTTTTGAAACTTCACCATATACAACGTTTCACTCAACCTACCAAAGATCCGTTTATTTTTTATCTCATCAATCAACTTTGCAAGATAACCTTTGAACACTCGAGCAAGAAGATACGGTCTGTCGTTAGGACATTGACATGGCAACAGGGCTTGTTTGATCTCCGACCAGTTAGTGTTGCACGTCATAGTGATGAAAAAATCCGGTTTTTCGAATCGCCTTACAATTGTGATGCTGTTGTGATATCTTTCACTCATATATCGGGGCCCCACAGTGAACGTTGACGGTAGAACCAATGTCGGACCAAATACCCTTATAAGCTAGGTTACCAGTCGTCCGATGGTCGGATGTCTCGGCCGGACGTCTTCCCCAACCGTCTGGAGGGGGGGGATATCGGACAACCCCTTTTTGACATTTAAAAAAAAAAAAGTTCTTGCACAACACTTGGAGAACCCCCCAAAAAAGTTTGGGGTGATTTGGAACATTTATGGGAAAAAAATATTTTTAGGGGTAGAGGGGTGGTGTGGGGTGTTTGGAAGAGAGGGGCGGGGGGGGGTGTGATGGAGTATGCGGATGCATCTGGTGTTGCATGCACTGATGCGTCTGCAACACTTGCTGCATGTCCATACACCCACATCCACACACATATGTGCAGTACAACACACACACACACACACACACACGCACGGACACACACACACATACACACACACACACACAAACGCACACACACACACGCACATTAGAGTGGCGATGACCTTACCCTGTGGACTAAACCAAGTGACCGACTAGCAATTTCACACACATGTACATGAGATATTGACTCGATGACATACCAACACAGTGCACGCATCGTATGAAGACAAGCTCATCAATGTCAGCCGCAAATACACGAAATTGCAACATGAACGCCCAAGTTCCTCCATGCTACAACCACCGATGACAGAACACATCCCTCAGCAAAGTAGTGAATATCCCTCTAGTCGTCCTCGTGCCCATTACCATCTGAGCTATCGTCATGTCCACTCTCGTCCTCTCCCCGAGCACGAGTCTTTGTATCCCTCTCATCCATGTAGTCACTACCAGAAAGGCCATCACTTGAGGCGGCATCCGAATCGTCATCAATGATACTAATGGATTTTCAATCGGGAACTCCACTCGAGGCCCGAGACCTTGTGCGAACTCCCACCGTCAAATCAGTGCATGCAGTGGTGCACTGCCCAACATCGTCCTCACCCGCGTCGTCTGCCCCCAATGCACTCATCGCCCATGAGTCTCGACCGTTGCCTCGACCTCTGCCTGACCCTGAGCCTCGCGGGCGACCACGAGGTCTGCTTGTGCCACCCTGCGGTCGTGGAGGAGGTGGTTATGCGCCTCCGTCATCCTCTCTCCTCCTCTTCCTGCTTGCACGACTTGTGTTCACATTATCAACAATGGTTGATGGAAGTCGTGCAGGGAGTGGTGGCATGCCTAATGGACTACGCACAGGCGGGCCAACCGCGGCTGACGAAGTGGATACTCCACTCGCGTGCGCAACCGGGCGTCGTAAAGTCACCGATGGGGGGTGGTGTAGGGCACTGCCAGAGGACACTGCGGGAGATAAAGTGCCACCACCATATGCTCCAGCTGTAGTCGATCTGCCAAGAAGATGAACGCCTGCTGCATCGGGTGATTGGGTGGCACGTGTGGGCATGGGCGGGATCCCATAGAATGAGGCGGTCGGCAGTCTAACATGACTCTCCCTCTCTCCCCCCCCCTCTGTAGCAACCTCGGCATCCTCACTCTGGATCATACTCTCGCGTGTAGATGCCACACCCCTCCTCTCGCAGCCCATGTCCTCCGTTCGTCGAACTACGCTCTCGTCCATGGTAACGTCCACCTGAACCTCCAAGTTGTGTCCATCCCTCCGCTCTCTCCGGTGTTCAATCCTCTGGTTAGCCCTCTGCTCCGCCCTGTCGTGCACCACCCCATCTACCCTCTGCTCCACCCTCTGGTCCACACCAAGCTCTGCGACAGACACTGGTAATGGGTCCGCCCTGTCATCCACCCTCTCGCTGACATGCGCTGAGGAAGCACAACCAATGCTTTGCTCCGAGGTCTGAACCATTGCAGGACGAATGACGTCACTGACCCTACGCTCTCCACGTCCGCCCGCCACCTGTCCATCACCATCCCCACCAGGTAGCACGACCCTCAGGACAACTGATTGAGTGATGCTCTGTGAACCGCCGCCTCGATGTATAACCTGCTAAGCGACCTGGCGCACCTGGTGTGTGTCCTCCGGCCTGTCATCCGCATGATGACCCTCCCTCCCAATCATCTCCTCCTCTGCCCCTCTAAGAATCCTCTCAGCAGCGTGATGGGGTGCTGCAGGAGCCGACGTACGTGCATCAACTGAAACACCTCCAGTATGTCCTCCCTCTCCGGCAGTCGATGAATGTGGAACGTGCTGACTTCTCTCCTCCTCCTGCCCTACCCCCAGAAGCTCCTCAAAATCTAACCCACCCCCAACCCTCCCCCGCAGACTCCTCACGGTATCCACACTCTGCGCTATGTACGCGTCAAGATCGGTGTGAGGGTTCGCTCCACCCCACTCGTCCAATAAGTCATGTTGGTCCTCAGGCAACGTACGGTCTGCGTCTCTCTGCTCCTGCTGCGCCTCCATCATCTCTCTGTGCATCCACACCGCATCTTGCCAAAGGGCCTCATCACCCTCCTCATCCTCATCCTTATCCTCCATCGGTGCCTTCCCCTTTCCAAATCCATTACGCCCCTCCTTCCTCATGTTCCTCCTGTCGATCTCCTCCCACTCCTCCTCTGGCACCGCTGCAGGGACACTGTTGTCAACGTCGATCTGCTCTGCGGGGTCCTCCACCTGGTCCTCCTACACATCAATGTACTGGTTGTCCGTCCTCCTTCTGGCACTGAGGAGCTGCAAGTTCCAGTGAATGAAAACCAGCTTCTTGACACTCTCGGCAGAAAGGCAGTTCCTCCTCTTCGTGTGGATGAAATCGTAGGTGGACCAGTTCCTCTCGCAAGGACTGGCTGTGGACCACGTACCCAAAACCCTCTTCGCAATCGTCTGCAGTCTCGGCTGCCGGCGACTGTGAACCTCCCACCACATCGCTGCATGCATCCCCCCTCCGCCGCATCCTTGACTGCAAACTCGTCCCACCAGTGCGCTCCAGTCTTCGGCCAATAGCGAGGGTCCTCGCAATGGAAAGTCCACAATGCCTGCCAAAGCGTATGCACAGAATCAGACTCCCAACTYGCACCCTCAAAGCGAGCCAAGTGGTTTAGCGCACTCTGCATGAGGGAGTTGTTGCGGTCTGCCAGCAATGAGATATCACGACGGCGAGGATCCAACAGATACGCTGCCGCATGGGCAGGCTGACGCATCATCCTGCATCTGTCGGATATGATATCCATGGCCGCCCTCCTCTCATCCTCCGTCAGTTCAAGAGTCTTGACCCTCCCCCGCAATATGCTCTTCAAATCCCACAATCCTGTGGGTGACGACCCATCCCTATCCATGTCCCTGAGGAACCTAAAGCACGGGGCCATGACGTCCACAACCATCTTCACCCGCCCCCACCAAGAATCGTCTCTGCACATCCTACGCACCTCAGGCTCATTCCTCCTCGCATCACCAGTCCACCGCACCTGCGCCCACGACTCCCTTGACACGAGCTTGTCTAACACACCCCTCTGCTCATATAGCCTCTCCAACATCATGAACGTTGTCCCAAAACGCGTCTCCGCTGGTCGCTTCAGTACAAGCGCGTTCCTCATGGTCTTGTGAAGTGCTAGGGCTCGCTGTTTGTTGTGCATGAACTTGACTAACTTGTGCCCCTTCCTCATGACAGTGGCCGCCCAAGGCTGCGCCGCAATGTCCCTCACCAGCAAGCTCAACCAATATGATGCACACGGGATCGAAGGTATGCGACGAATACGTGGGTCAGGGTGTGACTGCAAAATGCCGGCTGTTGTCTTCATCACTTTTGCGTTGTCGGTGCAGATGGCATTCACCTTGTCGATGCCAATGTCATCTCTGATCACTCCCTCCCATATCTCTACCAGGCCGACTCCCATCTTCTCCCGATGCGACATGTCGATGGTCCGGATGAAGATGGGTCCGGACTGTCCTGCTGCTATGAAGTTCATGATTGGCTTGTTGGTCGTGTCGGTAGCCCTATCAGTCAGCAGTGTGCATCCTATGGTAGCCCACTTCGCCTTTTTAGGTGCAATGAGGGCTGCTACCTCGTGGAAAATGATGTCCATCATCCTCGTGTGGACTCCCTCGTATGTCA